CATGTAGAGTTCTTTGAAGTGAGAAGGCTTGCTGACAGACAGATTTATTCGCCGATGATCTATTCATGTTTTTCGCGTCAACCCCCCAAAAGGGGACACACAGGCCGCGAGATCTGGTGGTTAAGTATCCCTTCCATCGAGTGGACGGGACTCCCTCGAGGAGTCTCTTGGCAATTTCAAGCATTTCCAAGAGGGGCAGTCGGCACGCCCTGGAGCAAGAGGGGCATAATTCCTCTTGTAATGGCCAAAGGAGATTCGGCCTGCCTGCAGGCGTGCTTGGTCAGTCCCCTACAGATTTTAGCCTTGGGAATAACGGCATAATTGCATGAAACCGTGTGACTTGGATAACCGTCCACGCCCGCTTATATACGTAGTGGCTTCCGGGGTGATGAAAAGAACTCTGCAGGGGTGCTTCAACTCCTAAGGGCAAGGCCAGCGGTCTCAAATTGGTTGGCAGTGACATGAATTCAATGGATTTACTGGACCAATAGTTTCGATCCGGGTTCCACTCCAGGAACCAGAGGCACATATCTATGGTTTCCATATGTTGCGAGTCTGCAAGCATTGGATTGGATGTCCAGGTGACAAAGTGTTTAAGTGAGCCGTTCCGTAAGGTTGGGCTTTATGACCAATGAGGGTGCCGTGACGCGGACGGCAAGGGAGGGGCGAGGAGGGGAGGAGGGCACCAACCAACCACTCCGCGCCTCGCCGTGCGCGGTGCGAAGGGGCCGAGCCGGGGTGGGGGCTACCCATGGTTACCCCCCAAACAGTAGCATTTATATATAGTTTGTTTGAGGGCATTTGGGGTCCAGGGGAAGACTCACTCCAGAGTTATAGTTGATAGATTGGGTCTGTCCGAACTTACTTACTAACAGCCAGTGAACAAATATAAACAAATATCACTATTGTTCAAGGTTTTTACTAACCATCGTTATCCACTGTTACTGGTATTAGGATAGACCCAGTTGATAGATGTTGACCGTTCCTTCTACCAAGGTGCTGGCTTTCTTTCCAGATGTAGGGAGGCCTTTGTTGTTCAACGCAAGAACCCTTGAAACGCATACTGGAAGAGCTACAGCTGACCACCATTGGTGGTTACAAGGGATCCAAGTTCCGGTCCAACAATGGAAGCACGTGCAACACCGGAGCGGTGCAACACCGGATCCACCGGAGCGGTCGTGCCTGTCTCAGGTGTCCTTCGCCTTCCTCGTGGCGATTTTCATCGCCAACTTTCCCGAAGCCTTCAGTGGCTCCAGCCTGCTGCTGGGTCAGAAGATGCCGGTCTCCAGGATGCTGGGTCCCCGATCGTGACTTTTTGGCGAGCCATGACAGAGGAGGACAATAGTAGTCCTTACACAGCGCCAGGATCGACTTATATTTTGTATATTTGCATATATTTCCCATTCTGTCCCATTGCATGGGAGTTTTTGAGATTGGAGTCAGTGTAGTGTAGTCTTTGCAGAGGATTTTGCTGATGTGGGTGGTGCTCTTCTTGCTCACTGGTGTGCTTGCGATGTTGGGCTCCCTCATGATGCCCAGCAACGTGGCCCCTCGGTTTGACCGATGAAACAGCCCGTCCACACCACCTGAAGAAACAAAGGGAAAGCTCTTCGTCATGCATGTAAGACCATTGGCGGTTTGTTGTCCAGTCACTCTTGTCCTTCCCTTTGCCGAACCAAACGAAGAGCTTTGAAGTAACTGCATAATTTTCAAGAGGTTATTGTAAAGGAGTTCCCGCGCAACCCCCTGTATTTGATATTCATGCATTTTGGCAGAGTGTATGTGTGCACAGCCATGGCCAACACTTCAGGAAATCATACAAAAACCAAGAGGAACCATTCCTATCTTTCCTCAAGAATCGTGATTCGACACCCTGACAATGATGAGAGATGTGACGTAACTGGTTCATGTCGCATCGCTTCTGAGCTTGATCCAGGTGGCTACTCGGCCCGTTTTCGACCCGCGTCGTCCGTGTCGCATCGGCCCAATTGCGAGCGTTCACCCGTGTGGTGGATGAACGTGGTGCGTTTCTTCTCTTCACCGTCTACACCGGCTACAGTGTGCCCCATTTGGTGCCTGAATGCACATGACAAACCCACGGGGGCTAACGCCATAGCCACTCTGAGTGTGCGGGACTGGTGGATTGCGAGAAAGAGCAGGGTCTTCTTCTTGCAGATTGCAGATCAGTGAACAGATGTGAACAGTGTACAGTCACCAACTCATCCAGTTCCTTTGACCACCCCGCACATGCCAAAGTCTTTGCTGGCGACCGCATTTTCCTTTATATATATACCCCCCCTTGGTACCTTCAAACCCATCTCTGATCCTCCGGCTTTGAAGGTCGAGTCTTCTTGATTCAGGGATGGTACCATGTTCACGCTGAAGTCAGGGTCGATGCTCCGCTCCGCGGTGCCGGTCTTCAGTCTTCGAGCGGCCGAGGCACGGGGCTCGGACCTGGCGCGGAAGCGGGATAAGGCGACGGCCTTGATGGAGGGCATCACAGGCGGTTGGGGTTTCTTCCTGAAGGTGTGAGTGTGTGACTATGTGTGTGCGTGCGCGGGTGTGCGTATGTCTTTTCTTTTTTGCCTTAGGGCCTTGGGGATTGAGAGGTATTGTATATATTAATTTAATATAAAGCAGATTGTAGCAGATAAAGCAGATTGTAGCAGATAAATAATAGGGAGGATGGTCTGCCCGGAGAAGCGTGTTGCGGTAGTGTTTGGCACATGAGTGAGGCAAGTGCCAGGTGCACACAGGTACACAGCTCCCCCCCATGGAACAACACTGGGCCAGCGCTTGCCATGATCGGGAAACGTCGTTTTCTGTGCCTTTTGATGTTCATGATGCGCCCTGCTTCGCATCGTTCGTCTTCCCATGGGATCGCACTCCAAAACAACTCAGTGCGCGGGAGGACTTCCAAGCGATGCTTCGACGGCACGACTCACGACCGATTCCAAGACCGCGGAAGATCACCGATCACCTCCCTCGCACCGGCCCGGTGTTGGATCGTTTTCGACCGTTTTGGTGGCAGCTCAGCTTTAAAACGGCAATCAAAGATATATTTCGAACACATGTGACATGTAGTTATATTATCCTATATATTATAGTACATGATTCATGATACAGCGGCTTGTCCTCCGGCGCACGACCGTTGGAGACCACCCGAGCCGCCCGGGGAGCCGCCCGGGTCGCCTGTTCGGTCGAGATGGTGACCCAAAGAGGTGGTGCGATGCTGGCGATGGTCTCGACTGCCATGCTGCCGGAGGCATTCAAAGGCGCCGGAAAATCTGCAACTGCTGGGTGAGTTTTCTATAAAAGGAAACAAGATTTGGCGGCGCTTGGTTTTTATGTTCCTGTTCCTGCTTAAATATCACTGTCGGAACTGAGCAGTCAAACCCGGCCACGAGTGGGTTTGTTCAAACCGATGTCTTGTTTCTTGTTTGGATGGCCTCATGACACTGCTGTTTTAGTGGATGAACAATTGAACCGGCTCACATGCAGTTGGCCGGTGTGTTATGCTCGTGATTTGGCAGGGCCATTTCCCGCATAGAGCCTCTCTTTGTGCCCCACTTTGAGTGAATCACAGCCGCTGTACACACAGCATCTGTGATCCTACCACTAGTCTCTCTTTTGACTGGTTGTGTGAGTGGAGGAATTCTAGTTGCCAACTGGCCTGAGTTCACTACACAACAGACACTACAGAAGGCCGCTTGTGGAAAGAATAAAGGAAAAGGATCATCATGTTCCCACCATTGCCAGCAACTATTCACACTCCAAACGTAGATTGATTCCTCCAACATATTCTCCCTGAAACCCACCACCCCTTTTGCAGGTTCCACTCGACCTCCATCCAAAACCTTCGCTCTCAAGCCGATCGCATCCTTCTTTTTTCAGGTGCGGGTGATAAGGCCGGTCTCATCTTTGTGCTGGGCTTTGTGCTGTCGGTCTGGATCACCTGCCTGGGCTATCGCTTTGGAGGTCCTCAAGGCTAGGCGCGGCAAGGCGCGGCGAGTGGGTGAGTGTTGGGGTCTGGGAGTCTACTGGATTCAATAGGCTCCATACAGGATTCCATGGGAAGACAGTTTTTTTTGGGCGGTGCTTCATCACCACCTTACTTGCAATAGAGAGTCTTGATATGTCTTGATGATATATTGTGATAATACAGAACAAAAAGTATATACACATATACTGCATACGCACTTCACCCCCTTCCGTTTGTAAAGATACCATCCAAATGTTTTTGGTTAATGAAGAGTCCAAGAATGTCCAAGACTCAACATGATGTCTATTTTTGACCATTGATCTGATCTCACGAACGCCTTCTTCGCTCATCCGGTCAACGAGAAGCATCGCCGAGAAGCATCAATAATTATGTGCACATTACGACAGAGGGAAGCGAAGATCTTGAACAAGGCTTCGTTTAACTTTATTCCTATCAGTCTAGCCAATGGTCTACTTACAACTTGCTGGCCAAATCATCTTAGCCCGTCTTCCTAGTTAGATAGATGTAGATAGCTTGGCAGCGACCAAGAACATCCTTAAAACGGGAGCCGCAGGCCGCCGGACTGCCCAGCTGAAGCTGGGCGCGACTGCCCAGCTTCGGATCCCCGGGTGTCCCCGCACAAAGGCTGCCGGGTGTCCGCAGAAAAGAGGCGTGCGCTCGGTGTGCTCGGTGCCAGGTTGAACCGGGGAGAAGCGATGATTGTCGAAGAATGTCGAACAGTTTTGCTGAGATGATGTGAGATTCAAATGATTTGACAGATGATTCGACAGTTCAACAGTTCAAATGATTTCAAACAATTTTCAGGATCGAACTGTTGGGGTGGAGCACTTCGAATCTCGAGAGGGGCCTCCCGATGCGGTTGGTTCCGTGACAAGGGGTGCATGAGTCCATGGGATGATGCATTCATCATCAAATTCGAGGAAATTGGGATGAAAAAGGGAGTGAACATTTGCAAACCGATTGCCGCTAGTCACTAGTTCGTCCGGTCTGTGCTAAGGCAAGGCTTCACTGGCAAGTGCAGCCCAGCAGCCTGCCCGTCGGTCACCTTGGAGGGGCGTGGGAGGCAGGTCATGGAGGATGATTTTTTGGACAAGCTCCTCAGCCTCAGCTCCTCCACCAGAACTACGGAATCTTCTAGGGAAAGATTGAAAATCCCTCTCAGTTACTCATTCAGTCCGTTAACTGTGATGAGTGCCACCCAACTACTAGTAACTAGTAAATTCTTTGTGATGTTTTTGCAATTGCTCCCGAAGACAAAGAAATGACGGAAAACACATTTGTAGATCGGCACTTCATTAGTACGATCCTAGCAGGATCTATTCTGTCCTCTGTGAGAAGATCGAAGATGGGAAATGGCATGAAACCGCTATTTGGGTCCTTCTTTGTGGGGGCAGGCGTTTTCACTTGATCTTTGTCACACGTCCCCCAGTCTGGCGAAAAGGACTCCGAAGGCAAAGGGAGGCACCGACGAAAACGCCCACGTTGGGTAGGTCTTGAACTTTACTGTGGGCAACAAGGGTCCATGGACGGGAGACTTGTTCTCAAGATTTCAACCAGCAGCCATGAGGGCCAAGCCAAGCTAGGATGCAGTGGTTCCACTGGAAAGATGCAAGATGAGCAAGATAATGACAGAGAATGAAAGAGTGGATCGCATAGGACCAGAAAGTTAGGAAGGTTAGGACCTCAAGACTCAAGTCTTATTTTAGTAGAGGGTGATCATGAATCATGGTTGATCCATTGGACGGAATATATAGTCCGCAAACAAAAACAGAGGGATTGTTTAGACGGATTGTTTGTAGGATGCACTGACCTCGGGGTTTGGCACAACTGCCTCGCTGCGCTGAGGGATCACTCAAGCGGTACTGATCTCGTCAGTGGCTGCACGTGCAATCCAGGCCACCATTGATGGTCGATCTTGTCTTTGGTTGACATGGGTGCGACCATTTTGAGGGTTGAAGCAAAGCGATGGGGGCAATCCTGAAGGGTTACAGGAGCTTTCCAGGCTGCCCAATTTTGTAATAGATCTAATTCAGTGAAAAAGGGTTCAAATCCCCTTGGGCACACTCAGGTGGATTAAAAGGACACACAGTTACAGTTACAGGATATTTTTCACATTGACAAACCGTAACCAAATTGTTGGACAGGGTCCGGAAATCATTGAATTTCATGCTTGCGAAGGAGTTGTTTAATCTTGTGCTGACCTGCAGTTGCGGCTCCCAAACATGTTGGTCTTGTACAGCAACACGTGCGTCCTTCATGAAGCCTTTGCTCTCAATGAAAATTATCACTGGTTGCACTGATGCAAACTATGCCTTGCCTAAAAGATGCAATGTTTGGATGTGCTACCATATCATGCTCGCAGTATGGTGTACTGTAGTTTGCTCATGAACCCATGGAACAGCGGCGGTGGAAAAAGGGGAGGGCCAGCAACTATCTTGGAAGTGGCCCTCCAGCTTCATGTGCTGCTGACGAGAAAGCCGAAGAGGAGGTCATTGCATTGCCCGGATTGAAGCTTGCTGATCACAGGATTCCGGAAATGCTGGAAATGTGCGAGAGGTTCCAGAACGGGCTTTTCGATTAGTTCCTTGCCTCATAGTTCCTCTTTCCGTTCCAGTCAAAAATCACATCCAGGCCCCGAGAGCGGCAATTGATGCCGATGTTTGCCAGCCGTCGCTGTGATTCAGGCTCTTGGCCATGAGCAAGCAGAATCACTGATGTCTTCCTTGCGCAATCACACCAATCATGTGCTTACTTCAGCCTGGGGATGGGTGCAGCCGCAGCGAGATTCAAGTGAAGCACTTTTAATTACGCAGTTTGAGAAGTGCACAACACCCAAATCACCCAAAGAGATCATTTCAAGGAAGCACAGAGCAAGCCTGACATGTTGAATGCACGTAGCAGTGAAGCGATTGCTGATGAGCGGTTAAGCCAGTAGTGCGTTGGAAAGAGTCAGGTCTGTTCTGTGTGTTCTTGGGACGGAGGTGCTGCAATCTAGACGACCGACTGACCAACCAATGACATCGAACCATCATTTCTCAAGGAACATGTCGTAAAGGCGCCAACCCAAAGCCTCGAATTTTAACCTGTTTGGTGAACCAGGGGTAGCTACGAAGGCCACCGACCACTGCGCAAATCAATCCTGCTTTTACGGTCTCTCGCAAAGCTAGAGTGGCTGCGGGATCCTAAGTGTGAAGATCAAAGGTCAAAGTCAGTCTAGGGCACCGTAAGAACCATAGATTTCAGAATCTATACAATCGTTGTATGCTTATTGCCCGGACTCAGGACATTGCTCTATTCCTGGAGGCTGTGGCACTTCAGATTTGCGATAGCACTAGTTCACGCCACAGGTCCGATGTCCGCTGCATGTCTTTGTGAAATCAATGTCGGGGCCGGGGCTTGGGCTGCATTGCAAGCAGTGTGTTGATTGGCTGGAAACTAGATTGCCAACGCCTTTGCTTCTCCTGGTGGCAGTGCAACCTGTACCAGAGACACTTCGTTCATGTCCATGTTTAGTCTAGTCCAAGGGGCAACCACCTTGGTTGCTTCCAAGGACTGACCGCAAATAATTGAATGCCATATGCAATTGATTGCAGATGTGACATCTATCAGCACTTGCAGTTATCGACGTCGAGAACGCAAAGCACAGGAACTGCACTGGCCGCACTGCACTGGCGCGTGAAGTTATATACATCATTTGATATGATGGTGCTATGTGGGTTTTCAAGCCTGCTGAAAGCTGTGCTGCAACTGTAGCTGCAGCCACATGACATGGGCCGTGGGCCTTGGCTCGTGCCCGCAAACGAAACAAATCTTGCCAGATGCGGCAATATGTGTTTGCAACCATGGACCATGACCCTATCAGCGCTTGGAATGGTTAAAACGGAGAAAACCAAACCAAGCAGAAGAATCGCAGCACCGGTGAGTGAATTTAGATGCTGTGATGCTGTGTTGATTTTCAGACAGCTGAAAAATGTTTGGCTTGTAGCCGTTTGGGCCCCCACTCGTGTCCACAAAACAGAAGCAAATCTTGCCAAAGGACGCCAAAGGTGTGTTTTGCAATCCAGACTCTTGACTTTTGAGCTGATTGTGTTTGTGCAATTTTTTGGTGGACCAATGACGGACGGATTGGCTGTGCCCGCCCCCTTTGACACCCTCAGGTCACCCACTGTTTTGCTGTTTTCAACGGTTTCCGGCTAGAAAACATTTACGGTACTAAACTTACTAAATTAATTATATTCACAAAATTTAGCGTTCCAGGTTGGGACGATGCGAGTTTTGAGTTTCCTCGTTCATTGGCTCACATGTCTCACGCTTAGTGTGTTTAGTATCGTCTAGATTTGACTTGTTGATATTTGTTGTTTGTTAGGTCGCACGCAGGAAGTGCGGTTCATTTTCAATTAGGCCACCCGAATTTTTTTCACAGCATGTGTATTTCGGGTCACTTGCTGTGGCCCTGTGAGATCATGCATCAGCTTGGAGTTACCCAGAGTTGATGGCAACACAACGTGACAGTTTTCATCTATTTTCTGTCATGGGCCCAAGGACGCGATGTAAAGAATTCATTTTGGAGATAGCTCTTGTTTTGTGCGTGGGAGGAACATTTTTTGCCTCAGTTTGTTCCCTGAGGCATGCTGAGGCATGCTGAGGCATGCTGCTTGGTCAATAAGGGTTCTTAAACCTTCAATTTCTGAAGTGCAGGTGCACTTGTGTGGCTCTATAGCTTGTCCTTTGGAGACATGTTTGATGCTAGATTGATCATCCACTCCGCAGCTCTTTGCTGCGCAGCCATCGTTTCCCCCCGTTTCTGCCCTCTCACCCGCCGACCGCCTGAGCCGAACTTCGACCGAGCCGAACTCGTGGTCAGGCTACTTCGGCACCGTCACGGCCAAGATTGGAAGCCCCTTCTTCGATGGTGGTTGCCAGGTGCGAAACGACCCCATTTCAGAGCGCGGTCGATTTTTTGGGGGGTTGATGTTGGAGTGCACATGTGTCCGAAGGGCGGGGGAGGGTGGTGGAAAGGGGTGAAGAGACCGTGAGGGTGTGTTTTGGTGACCCGTGAACGCATCCAGGTGTCACCTATCATGGGACTTCGTGAACCTATCTATCCGATCTATCCAGCAGAGCATTCTGATTGGCGCCATGGTGATGGGTTTCTCCAAACATTTCAGGTTTCAGGTTGCTAAATTGGTGGCCATTTTCAGGTTTTGGAGTCACCAAGTTGTTGATCGAATGATCTCATCGCTGCTAAACCGGATCTCACTTCGGACCGCCGTACTGCGTGTTGTCACACGTGGTGTATGAAATAAATTGGGAGGAATGCCTCGGGCGTGTCCGATTACCAGCAACCGGTTCAAGAAGCAGTCCTATAAAGCAATACTGTAGCATACTATATATATATACATAGCCGCATAGCCATTTTGTCTATATTTGGTGATGGTTTTTACCAACCATCATCCACACTTTGTGGCATCGCCCAGAAACCACCTGGGAAAAAGGACCAATACATACCAAAACTGTTGATGACACCAGTGGAAAATTCACCAGAGAGCTGTGGTTTTGATCACCACCTGTGCGATAGCAGGCCTGGTCCTGTGCGCCTGGCAGTGGCACCCAGTGTCAGAGCTGCGTGGAGCAAGCCAAGCGAACGCAGGCGGCTTGTGCGGTCTGAATCAGAAAACGACTTCACATTCAGGGTGGGCTCCCCCTAACGACTTGCGTAGAGAATCCAACAGGTTTGGCGAGTCGCGAGTCTGGGTTGGGGGAACACCGATGCTTCACTTGGACAGAGCAACTCGAAGTGCCACTCCTCGCCACGAGTCTTCGAAGACGCAAAGATGACTCGCCATTCTGCAGGCAGAGCACTGTGGCAGCTGCAATGCTTCTTGGCGGGGAAAAGGGTACTGCGCCGTCGACCCTCCGGCTCAGCCCTCACCAAATATTTGGATCAAAGAATGCGATCAGAGTGACCCAAGGCCAGGAGGTATTGCAGTTGTTTCAGAATAGACGGCACGAACCCTAAGATGATCTAAGATGTATTTTATGTAGATCTTCAAACTGTGCAACATGTTTGCTTTTTCATCTACAACACCAGCAGAAACGCAAACATTTTGCACGGCTGGAAATCCAGGTATTATATAATATAAGAACCTTTTGGGGATCGTGCCATCTCTACTCTGAAACCACTGTATCTACTGTAACAAGGGGGAACCAACCATGTGGGAATATGTGGGATGTCTGCAATTTGCTCCTTCACTCTCCAAGAAAACACAACCAAAGGTGTCCCCGCTTTGATGGTCAACCCTCCGAAAAGCATCGCGTGAGCCATGCACCTACAGAACACCTTGACAGAGGAAAGGGCCTGAGGATCCATTTCCTGACCTTGAGCATCCTTGAGCCAAGTTCGCTTGGAGAGAAATTCCCAGGGTCCCAAGGTGCTTCGGCGCAAGCGCAGGGGCGGGGTCCTGGTCCGAAAAAGCCCCCTGCTTTGGCACCATCACGCCGCCTGGTCGCTCAGGTCGGCTACTACATCGATGAGCCCAGCTGTAAGGCTGACGACGGACGGAGGTGGACGCTGGAGGCCATGGACATGAGCCTTTGTGGCGCCTTCTGTGGGTGAAACATAGGGTACCACTGCTGAAGTTTCCGGGAAATGGAACGGAGGACTATATTTGATGATATACTGATATACTCGTAATTAACTATATCTAAAAATAGTACAAAGCATTATAGTAATAATAACTAAATATGTGAAGCATGCCGGTTCCAGGGTCTTATTCTTGATATGCTTCACCATGCTTCACCTCAATCTCGCTGCCAACCCACGCTTCACCAACCCTCGCTTGCCGCTTGCTCCGCTGCGCCTCGACCTTCCACCGGTACCCTCCGGTCCGGTCCGTGTGGCCGATGCGCCACACACCCGACATGACCCGACAGTCTCGGAGTCTCTCTCTCTCTCTCTCTATCAATGCAGGAAAAACCGACCGTTTTTCGAGCCTTCAGAGTTTGGCCGCTGGAAAGAGGTGGAAGCGCTAGAACGGTCGAGGACCGTTCTCCCCCCCCAAAAAGGGTACTTACTGGAGAGCATCCTCCGGAGTGTTTCCATGGTGGCGTGTCTTCTTCTTGTCAGGCCATGACCGCAGACCAGAAATGTGGAGGCGGAGGGCAAAATGGCTGCGGGGCACTGGTTCCGGAGACTTCGCGGAATCCTTTGGAGGATTGGTTTTGCGATAGGAATAGGATATGTTATACAGTATTATACAGTACTATGATTTATTATGATTTCCATTGATTTCCTGAATTGGATTGGATTTTCTCTCGTAGGAAATAGGATGGATTGAATAGGATTTACAATCTGGGATTTGTCCTTCTTCTTGCTATGTTTTGAAGCGTTTTGTGAACCACATCCAATCAGCCCAGACAAGGCCCACCCTGTGGTTTCCCACCGCCTCCAGTGCTTGCAACCAAATCACTTGCTGAACAACAATCCAGGAGAATCAACCTCACTTTCGTTCGGCATATTCGTCCTAGGAATCCACCTACCCAGCTCTCTTCACCACCCGCAGGCTGGGTGCCTAAGCTGTGCGCCAGACCAAAGCCCGTCCAGGCCCTACATGTGCCAAGAACTGCCACGGGGAGAAGTGCGGCTTCAAATGCCCGGTGGCCCAGTGCCCGCGGGACGTTAAGATATCTGAGAGGTTTGGGGAAGAACTTGGAACCATCAATTCAATGGGCCAGGGTCTTGGTTGTTTTCCCTAGTCTTAGACTCATACAAGTAACGGACTCATGGATTGAAAGTCAAGTGGCCTTCTTATGGGCTCTAGAGTTTGGAGTGGAACACGGATCCAGTTAGTGATGGATGAAATCCTTCAGAGCTAAATCAAATCTGACCTGCAACAAAAGGTTACATGCGTAGTTGCTTGGATTCTTGAGTGGGTGTGTTTCCTGCTTTCAGTGCCACATCCCAGTGTTACATTGGACAGGCTGCCGGAAAGTTTTAGTTTGGGTCCGTGGGACACATCCTTCAACAACCTGTACTTTACTATTGTTGTATACTAAAAACATCTCTTTAACCAACATATCATGATCCCTCCCTATGCTACTCTCCTCTCCACTGCTCCCTACACCAGTTTGCACCACGGCAGGGTACCTTGCGGAGATCGGCCGATCTCCGCCCTTGGCTCGCTGCCTTTCCGAATTGGCTCGCGGATCGCTCGTCCCTCCGAAGGTGCCGGATCGCTCTTCGGGCAAGAGGAGTGCGCCAGGGCTTGTGACGGCGCCTCCTGTGGTTATCAGTGCACTGGCCGACGCCTCAGTCGTGGAACGGTCCAGAAAGAGGACCCGCGAGGACCAGCGAGGAGTGTGAGTGAGAGGGGAAGCTGAAGCTGAAGCTGAAGTGACATGAAGTGACTAAAGGATTGTTGCAAAGAAGTTTGAGAGGCGCAAGCTTCCAATTCTTTTCCAGTTGTGCAATTTCGATGAAGATTGAGATGAGAAGAATGGAGACGGTCCATGTTCTTGGACTTGATGGACTAGTGACTGGTCCATGTTCATTAAACGCCTGTCCCGGCGGACGGTGGAAACGGCCGGAAAAGACGGTTTCGCCCGGTGACCGCCCGGTCTTCCACCAAAGGAAGACTCGCTGGAGCGCGAGGTGTCGATCGCGCGAGGACAGAGACGAAAGTCATCCAGACCTCCCAAAGAAGAGCCTCCCCCCCTTCATCCCCGGTGTTTGTCCGGGGAAAAGTGCAAACGTGTGAGGTGAAACGTGTGAGAATGTTCTACAAGGACTCAAAGGGTGGCGAAGCTTCCCTTTGCTACGAAACACCGGTCTGAAAGACGAAGAGCTTCGAGAGCTTCGAAACGGTCACTGACTAGGACGGTGTTCAGAAACGGGCGGTACTGTAGGGATCCAATATCTTGGATTGTGGAGTACATGAATCTACCGACCTTCCTCTTGAAACCCTGAGAAGCCTGAAACAGAGCGGGTTCTTGGATCTTTGGGGTTTTTGTTCACCACATCACACCAGGCAACCCTTCTTGGAGCTAAAGAGACCAGATCTTATCTTAGTTTTTGTTGAACCCGATCCTTAGCTCTTGGTTTACTTCTCCATGACTCCTCGGAATCCTGAGGTGGAAATTGCGCTTCCAGCTGCAAAGGATGCGGGGGGGGGGAGGATGAACCGACAGGACGAGCCACACTGGAAGCTTCAATACTGGTCCTGTACTTCAAAAGAGAACTGGTGACAAGGTTCCTGGATGATTTGCACTTTTTGAGCTTCACCATGTTGAAGTGATATCCTGAGTCACCATTGTTAAGCTGGGGAGTCCCAGGGTCTGAACCTTCGCTCAACCAACAAGCGCTTGCAGGTCCCTGTGCCTCCCCCACCCGGGTTTGGCTGAGCAAGACATATGCTGAGGTCAAGTCCAAAGTCCACATGCTTGCACCTTGCAGGAAAGTGTTGCAGATAACTGCTGCACAGTCTACCCCTCATGTATATAGATCCATGTAGATTTATAGTGACGGACACCCACTTAGAACATATATTTTTTTCCAAAAATTTCAAACCTACACTTAGACTAAAACAGGAACACCACACTTAGAACATTGAGACTTAGAACAAAAATGCTCACTTAGAACAATGGTTAGACTATTTCATAATTATTCATACAGTGGGTGTCCGTCACTTTGTATGTTTGCATAGATTTCTGGTTAGGGGTGAGCATACAAAAGCCTGATTCTATTTGTGAAGGTCGGTGATAAATGAACATCAAGCAAGCATTAATGAGTAGCTTTCATTTGACTTGCGCGGCTCTCTCCAAGACATTTTTGGAAAAGGTGAGCCTTGCAACGGGGCCCCCCAAGAGTGTAAACACAACTGACCGCTACTTGGCAAACATCTGTCTTCTGCGGCACAGTCTTTTCCTCCTCCTCCTCCTCCTCCTTCTCCTTGACCGGAAGCATCGGAGTTTTCTGTCGGGGATTCATGACAAGGTAGAAGAGCAATCCGCGCACATCTCTGAACAGGCACACAATGAGGTAGACAAACATGAGATCGGTCATTGCATCAGCAGCCAAGGGAAACTGCATCGGTTCCTATGATACTGCCAAGAACTAGTCTAGTGCCTGTAAGAAAATGCTGCAGGGCGCACGGCTTAACACGGAAAGCATCCCTGCTCTCCCAACAAACCTAGTCCAAGCCCCGCTGCTTGCAGCAAAGTGACCCATATCCAAACTCTTTCACTTGCATAGGTAACTCCATGAGTCAAGACTAGCGACAGCTCCCCTGCAGCCAAAAGTCTGCAGCCGGTGGCAACCTTCATAAGAATGACTGATCAAAGCATGATTTTTGTTCTAAGCCAGCATTTAGGCCAATGTTCTTACCATTGTTCTTAGCCTGGACTTTTCTCCAGACATATGTTCTAAGTGCACACTTAGAACATCGGCTTATCTGTGACTCATCTTGTTTTTTTTTTTCCAAAATATGTTCTAAGTGGGTGTCCGGCACTATAAATGTAGTCGAAGAAGCCCAAGCCAGTTCCAACTTCGAGGAGACAAATGTGCCTATGAATGCACTGGTGGCAAGGATGTGCAACAGTGCGGTATGGGCTGTGTAGGCGGGCGTTCTGCAGGGCTGATGAGGGGTTATCAGGCACAGAAAGTATGAAAGTATCAGTCATAGTGTGAGTTTTCTCAATGATGGTAAGTTGGAGAGACTGTGGAGGTAGCATGAGACAGCTGTGTGTTGGAAACAACGGCCACGCAGTCCGTCCATCCTTTGTGACCGACAGAGAAGACTTCCTCATTCAACCGGCGCTGACTTCCGGGGGCCTCTGCATACACATCCTGGCCTCAAGAGTCCACATCCTCCTATGCGGATGCTAGATTTGTTCAACAAACAGTTCGCAACCGAACCTTCAAATGGTTTTTGTTTGTTTGTGAACCCCAAGCTGATCGTCACAAGCCCCAAGTTCCGGATGTTTTAACCAACTCGTCCGTCAACGGTCTTGCGGCGCCAGGCATGGAATGCGCCTACTATTGCCAAGGCACTGAGTGTGCCAAGCAGTGCGATGGCGACCGCTGCGGCAGCTACTGCAGCGGCGAATCTGGCCCGGGACCCGCCCAGACGTCACGGCGCCGGAGAGCACGACGGGGGGGCGGTGAAACGTGGGGTGAAGGTGAGCGGCATGGACCGTAGACGCTTGGATTCCCATCGCGGCGAACGAGATGTGTCATACAGCTAAAGCATGCTAAAGCTAAGATGCATGGCAGCCGGCACCAATTCCGTGCTGTGGAGAAACGGCTGTATACACATTGGTAGGACCAGACCGACCCAGAGACGCAAGCATCAAACAACTTGCGAGACACTTTGCGGGGATGGGCTTGCGTTTCAACCGGTCTTAGTTTTTTTGTTGTCTTTCTTTTGGGTGAAGGGTGGGTATCTACTGGATGCAGATCCATCTCCGGTGAACACCTCCACGTGATTTGCTTGCTGTGCTTACCGGATGCAGCGAGGGGCATTGCGCCTTTGCTTGCAAGGGCAGGCGCTGGGGGGATACCGGGGGCATCGCGGCACTCATCACGAGGCATCAAGTAGTGGCTTGGAGGAAGTAAGTTGTGGATGGACGTGCTGTGAATTCCCACAGCAGCCCAAGAACCCTTGGGATGACGGTGAAACCAGCTGCAATTATTCTTCAACTACTATCGATCGTTGACTCAGTCTCCCACTCTGGGTGCCTACTGTACCATGTCACAGAAGTTCCGTTTCCTTCACTTCGCTGTGTGTTTTCGGCCATCTGCAGTAGTTCTATCTTGCTTTGCTAGAAAAGGACTGCGCATTTAAAACAAAGAACGCTGGACGGCCAGATCCAACGATGGAAAGACCGGACCATAGTCCGTTGGCCAGAGTCGTGATACACGGCTAGAGTCAGGGTCGCAGGGAGTCACCAGATGAACCTGGGGCCCTATTGACTGAGTCTTCAAATGCCGAAAAAATGCAGGGACATATAATATATATTAATATATATATATATATTATAAATATACCATACAGTAGCTAGGACGCTACTATAGGTGGAGGCCCTCTATTAGGTTGGAGGCCATTACTACTAGTAACAAGTAAGAAGCTACTAGTAGCTATTTGCTACTAGTAGCAAGGACGCTTCTAGGTGGAGGCCATCGCTATTAGGTTGGAGGCCAGGAACAAGAAGCTACTTGTCGAAGGGACTTGCCAGAGTGGATTTCCTCAGTGATTCGAGACGTTGGAAATGCAGGCAATGTGGCTTCGAGTGTATCGGCACCATGTGTGCAGCGCAGTGCAGCGGAGAACGCTGCGCTTACCGCTGCCAGGGCTCGCATGAGGAGTGGGCTGCAAGCAAGCAGGGCTGCTTTTTCAGGGTTTAGGTTTCGCATTACACTCCCTTATAAGACTGCTACTGTATAAACGCAAATTGAACTCAGCGAACTGGTGACCGCAGGACGTGGGCAGTTGCGGCACCAAGTGCCAGGGTTTGGGCCTTGGTAGCAACAAAACAGTTATGGCCCTGGCTCACAAGAAAGACTCAGACACCATCAGACACTGGCAGGATCCAGACCGATATGATACTGGTACTCGTAATCAAGGATTTCTGAACCATCCCCAAATCTCAGATGGTCGATCTACGCGGCGCCGCGTTACTCGCTGTGCCTGAGGCACCGAGTGTGCCTATCGTTGCGAGGGGAGCAGCTGCGCCGAGCTCTGCCAAGGCGGGGCGCTTCCCTGGGCGCGCTGCGAGTTCGGACCTTGGGCAACGAGAAGATCGAGATGTTGTCAACCTCAAACAAGTGAAGGGGTGGTGTAGGTCGAGATTCTGCCACCATTCAGTCAGACATCTTGAATCATCTTGACATACGTTAGACATATTGAGACCTTGTAATGGATGTTTGTGGATGGTTATTCGGGAAAAAACCTTAAGGACTCTGTTATATTATGCTTGCTTTTGAGTTGCGAGATATTCCAAAAGATGCCTCCCCCTTGTATCAGTTTTGGAAAGGGAATTGCTCAAGAAAATCATTTCAACGACCACCTCACCACATTTGAGGGAAATCCCATTCGCATATCAGCATATATCAACCATGCATTGTTCAATTCCAACAGCCAACCCTTTCCGCATGAACCTGCAACAATTCACCTCCACATGTCTTTGAACATATCCGTCATCCTGGTAAATCTCAGTGACAACTCTCCTGGTGCCTCGAAACTCCTCACACAATCCACTCGAATCTGGGTGAAGAGACCGTTCCAAGATAGATCCAGGGGGAATAAGAGACAGGTCCCTAGGAAGAAGTGCATCGCTACTAGAAACAAGTGCCACGCTAGTAGCAACAAGTGCCTTACTAGTAGTAACAAGAAGCTAGTAGTAACAAGTGCCACGC